TGCACTGGGTCCAGGGTGCATCCCAGAACAGAGCTGGCCTTCCTGATGAGTTTATCCAACCTCTTCCTCTCAGCCGCTGATAAACTGCTGCTCCAACATACAACACTGTGAAAAATGACAGATGCCACCACAGAGTCATAGAAGGTCTTTAAAAGCACTCCCTGGACTCCAAATGACCTCAGCCACCTCAGCAGGTAGAGTCTGCTCTGACCCTTCCTGTACAGAGAATCAATGTTGTGGCTCCAGTCCAGTTTAGTCTGACTTACCGAGTCAGACTCAATATAAAAGATGATGTAAGCCGGCACGTTGAAGCTTCAGTGAAAGCTTGAGTGACCACTCTGGTAGTGGTCACCTTCACCTCTCCAGACTCCGCCCTGTTCTCTCAGGAGTACCTGATAGTTCTGTTTCTGCCACCTGCATCTGACTGTGGAACACAGCATGAAAGAAACAGGAAGAAGTCAGGTAAGAAAACCTTTATTTAGAGAGCACATCTTAATCCAGGTGCAAATACAATCAAAAAAAACGCACATTTAAAGCCACATGGTAAAGACATGAATTAAACAAATCAAAACAGCAAATATGAAGAAAAGAACACAAGGAAATAATCAAAATTAAAAAGACCTAAAAATAAATCCCTAAAACTCAAAATAAAACTTAAAACTGCTGAAGCAGCAAAAGAGAACGATAAGCTTAAACTAAGAAAAAGCGAAGAAATTAAATCAGTTACGATGAACAAGAGGTCCACTAAACAGGCCCCACAAGAATGTTTCAGTCATTTCTTTATAAAGATGACAACACTTAGGTTAAAACCAGAAGCAGAAAAAAGATATTTTAATCATTTGCCAAAGAAACAACTCCATATCCTTCATCCGTTTTCCTGCTTGGGCTGGACTGAGGTCAGTTTTGTCATCAGACAGTGAGTCTGAAGGTCGTTCCCACATTCCAGTTATTATTGGGGGTACGCACGTGCTGCAGGAGCAAAAGCTGAAATCTCTATGCAGGCTGTTGATTCCCAGCCTCAGTTTTCATTTGCATTGCTCTCTTGACCTGTTTGTCTCTCCACCTGTGACCAAGGTTGCGATTGTACAGAAGACGTCCATCAGGGAACACGTCCCCGCAGCGATTCCACGGGTACCTGGTGTGAGTGAGTTGATGCTCCTTCACGATGTTTTGCCCAAAAAAAACATTTTCCCGCATGTTTTGCACCAGAACGGTCTCTCTCCAGTATGCAGACGCCTGTGGTGGTTAACACTGGACCACTGAGTGAAGGGTTTGTTGCACTTGTCGCACCAGTATGGCTTCTCTCCAGTGTGTATACAGCGATGGCTTCTGCCAGTTGAGCAAAGGTTTTGTCACACAGGTTACATCTATATGGTTTCTCTCCAGTGTGCAGCCGAGGGAGCCGGACTCTGTAAACTGTTTGCCACATTCTCCACAAACATAGAGTTTCTCTCCAGTGTGAACACGGAGATGATTTGTCAGTGTATCTGAAAGTGCGAACGCAGCGAAGAAATTTACCTTACATAACACATTTTGAATGTGTTTTTATCACTTTCTGATGCTTTATTAATTAAACAATACATGTATTAATTGTTGTATTATCTATAGATATAATATTTATATATATTTATTTATAGTATAGCAAATATATTTAATTATTATTGTTTAAATGACTAATATGTGACATGTATTAGTAGTGATGTGGTGCTGAGGGTTAAAATGCCTTTTTGTCTTTTGGTATATTACGAAATGGATATAAAACAACTAATATATTTCTATGCTGTGCTCGCATTTATTTTACCCTACTCAAATTCAATGATATGACACATTTTAAGATTTGAAATGGTTCTTTAAAGAACCATTTCAAAAATGTTCTTTAAAATGTTTTTTTAAAGAACCATTTGAAGGACCTTTTTAAAAATGGTTCATTGAAGAACCTTTAAAGGTGCCCCAAAGAACCATTTCTTGATGGTTCATTGGGGCACCTTTAAAGGTTCTTCAATGAACCACTAAAAGAAATGGTTCTTCAAAGAACCATTGTTTGAAAGGTTCTTCGCGGCACCAAAAACGTTCTTCTATGGCATCAGTCTAAAGAACCACTTTTGGTTCCAGTTGGCACCTTTATTTTTCTGAGTGATAATGTTCTCAATCTTGGTAGAAGTACTGCTGCAATTAGGGTCTTTCATTATTTCTCCAAAACGTTTCTGGATCCCATCCCGCAGTGCATCAACAAGAGGTCTACACATTTTGCAAGAGGACTCCAGCTTCTCCAGCACCTGGTAAAATGTTGGCAGTTAGAAGCCCATGTGCACAGATGATTAGCCTTGGAGGATATTAAAGGCCATGGCAACAGGCTTCATCACAGCAGTGTACTCAACCACAAATCCCATTTCAGCAGGATTGAACCTAAAAAAGGTGTAAAACTGGAATAAGTCATAGCCATTTCTACAAGAATGTAATAACTGTGGATTGTCTGTAAAATTTGCAAATGATTGGAAAATAAGACAGTAAAATTATAAGTAATTGATAAGGAATATTTACATTTTTCAGTCTCAGTCAAAGTCACTTAAAAAAGGGTGGATTCACACATTAATCACAATTTAATATTTAAAAACAAGTTCCGTCAAATTACATCTTTATCTTTAATGCTGTGCAAACATTGCTGATTCCTTTCTCTTCTTGCTCTTTATGAATGCGCACAAGTCTTTCCACAGCAAGGAACAGGGAGATCCAACGAGTCTGATTGGGTCGAATAAAAACATCAACTTGCACGTTCCTCATAAGCCATGATTGACCTGCTGGTTTTATTCCACAGAGCATGACATTTTGCAAAAGCAGAACGAGATAGTCCCTTGCATGTATTATTGGTAGCTTCTGCAGCAGTGGCATCAACTGTTGATATAGGATTGAATAGAGGATATGCACACGTTTGGTCCCTTTGAAGCTGGTTACCCAGACCTGTGTTGTCATCCAAAACGGCAAACACATCTTGATACTCCACCTCTAACGCACTGTCTTCTTCTGCATTATCAAGTATAGACCCACCGTCCTCCTGCCAATTGGTTGTTTCTTCCTCTTTCTCCTCACCATATAATCAAAAGGCCTTCAAGAAGTTTGAACCACTGTCTGTTTTCGTCCAGGTCACTTTTTCTCTGATGTGATACTCTGAATGGATTTCTTCTAATGTTGCAGCAAGAACATCAGATGTGTGTGAACCTTTAATAGGTCTACAAGCCAGTGCAGCAGAATGCCTTTCTAAAGAGATGTCATCTATCCAGTGACAAGTCACTCCTAAGTAGCTATTCTATCTGGCAGACCAGCAGTCTGTTGTGGTAGCAACATAGTTTACAGTGCTCAGTTTTTTGATTCAAATTCAAATTGTATTTGTCACATACACAGTCATACACAGTCATCTTCCCTTTGGCTTCACCTGCACAAGTGCCAAGGTAGGTCTCCCCTGCATAATTGGTTTCCCCTTCGTTGGGAGCAGCGCTGGGCTGTTCAAATCAAATGATTTATTTAAGTGACTTGTGATAGAGTGATTTGATTTGATGACCACACAGTGTAGTTGTGCAGTAAACAAATGTCCAGAATGTCCAGTGTGTGTGTAAAAACCATATGTGTGGGTCAGTACTATGTGGTGGTGTGATTGAGAGACCGTATCACCTCCACCACATAGTAGTGACCTACACATATGGGTTTTACACACACACTGTCTCTTAGTGACGCTGAAAAACTAGTTCATGCATTTATTACTTCCAGGCTGGACTACTGTAATTCAATCAATCAAGGCTTTATTCACCACATGCAGGTTGCCCTTGAGTTTTTCCTTTCCAGTCACCTTTCTCAATCACTATGTCTTAATACACCTCTCTGCATTGAATCATATTTGTTATCAACCTCTGTCTCTCTTCCACAGCATGTCTTTATCCTGTCTTCCTTCTCTCACCCCAACCGGTCGCAGCAGTTGGCCCCGCCCCTCCCTGAGCCTGGTTCTGCCGGAGGTTTCTTCCTGTTAAAAGGGAGTTTTTCCTTCCCACTGTCGCCAAAGTGCTTGCTCCTTTCTGATGACAGATCCTACTCCATGACACCTATATTTTTATTTGTGCATCTCTGCTTAATCAGAACTACTACTAATAAATGCATGAACTAGTTTTTC